ACCTTGTATAAGATAAATCACTGTGACCTTTGTACAGTGCCAGTTGTAAGCAGAGCAGGATGTTTAGGTTGAAAGTACCTGAAACTAACAGATGCTCAGGATGAGCTTTAGCTAAGCTGACTGATAAGTAAAAGAATGGGAAGGAATCATTTGCCTATATCAGCAGTGTTGCCAAATCCTAAAAACTGGCGTAAACATTTATCTACTGCGCATGCTTCAAAGACTGCTGGAACAAGAATTCAAGAAGCAGACAAGTGATAAAGACTATTGGAAAAAGTAAAACGACCACCAAAGAACACCAGAGCGGCTGTAAAGCTTGAAAATGGACAATAGAGGGCAGCAAAGATAGTGAAATAACAGTCTATGACTAAGCGCGCTTATGTTAATGACTTCCAAAAATTGTAATACATACGCATTAACCTTGTAAACGTAAGCAATGTAAGCGCAACCAGTCGTTGGAAGCCCTTATGGAGGAGAATCCCCAGTGCAGTCCCAGCACTGAAATAAAGAATTCCTGATTAACAGTAGCTAATAATTGCTGTCAAGATTTTTGATGCTGTTCCTTTTTAGTTAAGAGATTCAATATCATATGCAAAGTGGTATGATTCCAGATAGGATTTATCACTTCTGTAAGGAGGGAAGAGTCAGGCCCACTGCATAAGCTAGTTCCCCATATCAATAGTACAGCTATCTGCAGCTGTTATAGAGTTCAAAATACAGCTTTAACATTTTAAATATTAGCCTGGTCCAGTAGTACAAACTATGACAGACTATTAGTGTTTTCTCATAATGTATTACACCCCAAAACCACTTCAGACTCGGGCATTGTGATTTAAGGCTCATACAAGCTCACCCTTTGTGCAAAAACCTTACACATCTGTTTCTTTCTCAGCTGCTGGTGTGTTAGCTCCACCCCCCACCCCACTTTTTTTTTTTTTTTTCAATTCAAGCATGCAACTCTCCAAATGAGCCCAAATAATACTATATTTATTAAAACAGCCCAACATCTTCAAGAAACTAGAGAAAAACTGATGGAAATTAAGGAAAATAAAGCCTGTTTCCTTATCTCACCCCTCAAAAAACATTTATTTCTTGAACCTGAGAAAAACAAGAGCATCATTTTTCCTAAACTGCTGTTGAAATTTAAGTATCCCGACTGTTGGCACGTAACTAATATCAATCTTATAAAATATTAAAATAAATATTTTACTTAAATTATTAACAATTTTATAAAAGATGCATGATAAAAGAAGGTTGATATAAATAAATAGATTCCACAGAAAGCAACAGGAAACGAGTTTACTTTCACTAAGACTCATTTCTGCAGTCATTTTGGAAAATACTTACAAAAAAAAAAAGCAAACACCCAAACAAGAAAACAAACAAACAAAAAAAAAAACCAAACCAACCCAAAAAGCTGTTCTTGAAAAACACAAATCCTGTATCACTGAACAAATTAGTGGCATGGGGAACGAATTGCAGAGACTATCTTAATTTTCAGAGTATTTATTCCCAATACATTCGCCCCTTTTACTCTTCAGAGGAGAAGTAGCAGAAAATGGCTGAAAGTGACAAAAACAAGGGAAAGGAAATGGTGCGCGAAGGCACTTCATTGGTCAGATTTTGCTGCAGAGTCCAAGTACTTCACTCGGAGAAAGAAAGATTTCCTAAACTGGGGTGTATCAGCAGTTAACAGAAAACCAAGGTTTCTGCAGAGTGAGGTTTTCCAAGGGAAATATTTCCTCTAAGCAATTCTCTGTAGGTCTTCGTTGCTGAGTTAGAGTGAAGGCTGTGCTCTACTCAACCCAACCGCTTCTTAAAGGCACAGCTACTCTTTTGTCGCAGTGAAAACCTAAAGACTTTATTTTTGACACTTCAGTGGAACAGTTAGACTTTCCCAGATTACACATAAAGGACTAGCAGAATGAGATGAATAAGTGAGAAAATGCGACAGAAAGTCAATGATTGTTTTGGAACTCTATATTTTTCAGGCACTAACTACAGAGCTACCAAGGAGGAGAACAGAGATTTTGCAGCTGAGCTTACAATCAGGGAAAACATATATTTTCCAGGTAGGTTCAATAAAAAAATTATAAATATGACATAGGACAGAGTCTCTAAGAATAATTCTAGACTCGATGACAAGTTTTTAGTCACCAATACTCCTTGGAAAGCACTTCCTTTTTGCTCAGTTCAGCAAATATTTTCAGGCCCCTAAACACAGATGGGAGACAACTTATATAAACAGGCATCCCTAACAATTCACATAGGACACCAAGAAACATCAGGGACACCACTAGTGTGTTCTGGAGAAGACACCAGCATAAAAGCACCCTGCTTTTGAAAACGGTGCCGTCAGAAGTTATACTCGCCACCAACCCTGCCCCTAGCTCTCTCTAGAAATACAAGGGTTATCACAGGAATAAAATAGAAGTGCTTGGAAAGGAATGAAGATGCCCGTGGCGGGGGGGAGGCTTTCATCAGGAAATATCAGACCACGAGTGGGTAAAGCAATGAGAAAACTACCGGCCAAGGCAGTGCCTTTCCTGGAAAGGCGGGAAAAGGCTGCTTCTACCACAAGCCTTCCCTCCTCCACCACTACCCACCAAAAAAAAAAACAACAAAACCAAAAAAAAAAAAAACACAAACCAAAACCCAAAGAAAAAGAAAGATTTGTTAAAGAAAACTGTGCTTCTGTCAGGACAACGAACCGTAATATTGCTACCATAAGAACATCAAGAAGGCATTGACAATAGACATACTCTGAATAAATTTTTCTAATCGAAATGCAGGAGACTGACTCTATTAAGAGCCATCTTTATGAATTCAAATTTCGTATAAATGACTTTAGCACACAGCGGCAGATAAATACAATTCGTTTAGAGCTAAGAATCTGTTCATTCAGAAAAAGAAAGCCCAAGATAATAGCTGATTTTGTAGCACCTAAACAGATTTTCACCCTAAACTGGTGTGTCTTAGCAAGATCACCTCAGAATTAATTAACTACAGCAAACTTGTTTGGACACCGTCAGAACCCTTTAAAAACCATTTAAATTGCGACTCTCACACTTTGTTTGGTACTTACTTGACAGGTTGCAGGCTCTTGATCACTATAAAGCTACAGGGAAAAGCATCACTTCCTACACAGAATTAAGAAGTTACAGCTCTCTTTAGTGGCCATGTGGTGGCTCTTAAAAGAGCCTTTGGGTTTTTGTAAGTCAGGCAGATGAATCTGTTAGAACCTTAAGCGCGCTCGCCACGGATGCGCCGCGCCAGCTGGATGTCCTTGGGCATGATGGTGACGCGCTTGGCGTGGATGGCACACAGGTTGGTGTCCTCGAAGAGCCCCACCAGGTAAGCCTCGCTCGCCTCCTGCAGCGCCATCACGGCCGAGCTCTGGAAGCGCAGGTCGGTCTTGAAGTCCTGCGCGATCTCGCGCACCAGGCGCTGGAAGGGCAGCTTGCGGATCAGCAGCTCCGTCGACTTCTGGTAGCGCCGGATCTCGCGCAGCGCCACCGTGCCGGGACGGTACCGGTGCGGCTTCTTCACGCCGCCCGTGGCTGGCGCACTCTTACGGGCCGCCTTAGTAGCCAGTTGCTTGCGGGGCGCTTTGCCGCCAGTCGACTTACGCGCAGTCTGCTTCGTACGTGCCATCGCTCTACACGGAAGACGCTCCGCAAAACTGAGCGATGAGAATCTGTCGCAAAGCCAGCCTCAGGGCCCCCCTATTTATAGCCATCACGGCCCTGTGATTGGCTTGCCGGAAAGCACGAGTTCCATTGGATAGCTTGAAGGATTTGAAATGCCCGCCTCCTGGTGCTTGCAGCCTGGATTGCAACGGCCGTTTGTCTCCGCAGCCCTCGCCCCAGAAGGCGGAGTCCCCCTCACTCAACCCCTCGGCGCTCCTCTTTTCCGGCCCTCCGAAAGAGCGCTTTAGCGGCGGCGCGCTCTCGCCACAGTGGAACCTGCCAGTGAAACCGCGGTGTTTGTCCCGGCTCCGCAGCAGGCGCTTTTGTAAGCGACCGATATATGAGGGTCCTGCCGCCCAGGCCTTGGACTCGGCTTCTTCCAAATCCCATTCCCCCCACCGTCCCTGTCCTCCCCGCTTTCCGGCACGGGGACTGCTGACAGAGGCTCTTTCACACGACAGCGTCTTTCTTCTTCGCGTCAGTTCTCTGTTTCTTCCTTCTCGGTAACAGAAGTAATAGTAACGCTCCCTTATTACGCGCTCACGGCGAACGACCCGGCTATGCCAAGGACCCGTTGTAAATCGCGGCTCTGGTCGGAGGAGCGAACACGGGCGCCGAAAAGCGAGCGCTATCGCGACCAATCCACGTCCTCCTGCAGGTGCTCAGGGCCAGGCCGCGAGCGCCTGCTGGGGAGATCCGTGTAGTTCTCACTCAGGTCGGAACAAGCCCGGTAGCTGTGCAGCTCTGGGTACCGCCGCCAGCTCCCGACTCCCTCGGTCTGCTCGGTGGCAGGATATACGGGGGGGGGGAGTACGGGGCAGTGGAGGAAGAGGTCGACCGGAGCCTTGGGCAGAGCGCAGGGGGAAGCAGGGAAACCGTGCTCGGGATCGCAGGCGGGACTCTAAATTGGAGAACGCACGTGAAAACACCTTGGCCTGCTTTGTCAAGAGAAAAGCCCAAACAGAAAAGCTTTATGCTAAGAAAATTACACGTTCACCCTGAGAAGTTTGTGCTTTGGAAGCCCCCGGCTCACAAGCTTCCCAATACAATGTCTCACGGGGAAAGAGCAAAAGAACACCTTTATTTCGGGCTTTTAGAAAATATTACAATATTCTCCCCTTAACCTGCAACCCCCAAGTTATATGCAGAAGTGAAGAGAGCTCCAGGGTACGTCTTTAGAGAGCTACAAGTTCTGTCTTCCACCGAGACATAGACCACTCCGCGAACTAAGTACACCCCAGTCCCCTACAGCCACGTTGTCTTCACACCATTACTAAGCTCTTATCAGCAAAGCAACCTGGGCTAGCACAAAATCAGTCAGCTCCTTTACTGAGAACGTAGGTGGCTCTTAAAAGAGCCTTTGGGTTAAAATAAGCGGACTGGAACGCTCTACTTAGAACTGGTGTACTTGGTAACGGCCTTAGTACCCTCAGAGACTGCATGCTTAGCCAGCTCACCCGGCAGCAAGAGGCGCACGGCTGTCTGGATCTCCCGAGAGGTGATGGTGGAGCGCTTGTTGTAGTGCGCCAAGCGTGAGGCCTCACCAGCAATGCGCTCGAAAATATCGTTGACGAAGGAGTTCATGATGCCCATAGCCTTAGAAGAGATGCCCGTGTCGGGGTGCACCTGCTTCAGCACCTTGTACACATAGATAGAATAGCTTTCCTTCCTGGTCTTTCTACGTTTCTTGTCACCCTTCTTCTGTGTCTTGGTGACAGCTTTCTTAGAGCCCTTCTTCGGAGCAGGAGCGGATTTTGCTGGTTCCGGCATTTTCCCCAAGTCTCTACCCAGCTCTCCACTGCAGAAACGAACACACAACACAAGCATGAGCGCCCGTCCTTTATAGGGACCGTATGCAAATTAGGGTTTCCTCAATGCTGTTCTTTTCCATTGGACAGTCAGCGTCTGTGATGTCAAACTACATGGCATCTTTGATTGGTAGCTCTTTCATCTCTCTACCCATTGGTTAACATTACAATCTCAGTCTCCGCCAATCAAAAGTCTCCTCTCAGAAGGAAGGGATAAAAAGGCTGGGTGGCACCTACCGCTGTTTTTTTCCTGTTTTGTTTTTTTTTTGTGGCGGTATTGTTTCTTTTTTTTCTGTGTGGTTTTACTTTATTTGCTAGCCTTTATCTGAGGTATGTCTGGGCGTGGCAAACAGGGTGGGAAGGCGCGTGCTAAGGCCAAGTCGCGGTCGTCACGGGCCGGACTGCAGTTCCCCGTGGGCCGCGTCCACCGCCTGCTGCGAAAGGGCAACTACGCGGAACGGGTGGGCGCCGGCGCCCCGGTGTACTTGGCAGCCGTGCTGGAGTACCTGACGGCCGAGATCCTAGAGCTGGCAGGCAACGCGGCCCGCGACAACAAGAAGACTCGCATCATCCCGCGGCACCTGCAGCTCGCCATCCGCAACGACGAGGAGCTCAACAAGCTGCTGGGCAAGGTGACAATCGCGCAGGGTGGTGTGCTGCCCAACATCCAGGCTGTGCTGCTGCCCAAGAAGACCGACAGCCATAAAGCTAAAGCCAAGTAGAATTTTTTGACAAACAACCCAAAGGCTCTTTTCAGAGCCACTCCCATTTTCTTAGAATGAGCCGGAACACCCGAGGTGTCTTCAGTTTTATTTTTCTAGTTTGTGGATGTTTACCTGCTTTTTTTTTGTTTGTTTGTTTCTTTCTAAAAGTCATGTTTTTATGTAAACTTTTCCTAGTTTTACTCTTTTGAAAAGCCAATAAAAGGTGGCAGTCACAAGTCATGAAACCTGTCACCTCCGCATGGTTTAGGAGGGACGATCAGAACAGGTCAAGGGTGGACTCGCCACCCCTGTCTCAGCGGTGGTGGGCAGCAGCACCCCTCTCCGGGCAGAGATAGGCTGTTGTTTTGGGGTGGAGGGATGGCTGTACTCGGCCACGGTGAGGCGCGGAGCTGCCTCCAGCTAATCCGCGCGGTTTTCAAACCCGGGTAGGGTTGGAGCGCGCTGTCTTCCACGCGCAGCTCCTGCTGGTGCCGTAGAGGTGAAAAGTATCCTGACTGCTTTATTGTGTAGCGGCTACTTTGTCTACCTATTGAGGTTCTTTTCTTACTTGCGTTTTGTGGCTTTCACGCAATAGTGGCAGAACTGTGTTTCTCTGAGATGCCGGCCTGTAACCAAGCCGGGGTGGTTTTCAAAGCACAGCATCAACTATTATGAATGATTGGGGTGGCAAGGGAAATTGTAATGCAGGATGGCAAGTTAAACCAAAAGAGGGTCAAGTATACTTTTCTGTAGCATGTGAGTGCCTATTGAAGCAGTATGGAAAGTCATGTGTAATTGCAGCAGGGGTAGGCATGTACTAGTCTACACTTCAACTGAGGCTTCAATCATTTTTTATTCTGACATCATGGGTGGCATTTAAAGGTGCTGTTGGGCTTTTCTACAAAGGTTTTCTCTTACTGCGCACCCTCCTGGGTGCTGCTTTCATTAGTGCCGCCTTTGTGAGCTAGATAGCCTTATCTTTTGGGGCCTCTTGAGTGTAGTGGCTGCTGGCTGCTTGGGATTTTTGAAGTCCCCTTTAGCCCACTGGAGCACAGGAGCCCTGTGCTGTCCTTGGCGGTGAACATACCCCCGGATTCAGGCTCGGTGGCGCTTGGGCTTTGGGGTTTGGAGCCGTTCCTCACCACCTCCGGCTCGGCAACCGGAGCCAAGACGACGGCAAAAGCATCGGGTATGGCTGGGAACAGGAGAGGCCGGAATTTGTAGGGAGGAGTCTCTCGACCATTGGTGCATCGAGGATCCAGCTGTGCTGGAATGTAGAGAAGGTTCAGCTCACTTTTATTTCCTCTACACAGTTTACTCATTTGCTTTCACTGTAAAGGAATATGTTAGGCAGATATAGATAAAACAGGCGTTTACTTTTTCCTATTCAGTAGTGTTTTATGAGGAAGAAAAAGCTGCCCGAAGGGTAGGCAGGAACACAATTACAGAAGCCTTCGAAGGAGCTGCCCGGGGGTAGGGAATGTTTCCTTTGTTCTTTAAAAGAGCCCCTTGAGCACTAAGGAGAGAAAAATTGCTGCTTTTAGCAGTGTCCTGCCTCAGGAGGCAGATGAGTGAGTCGTTGTGGCAATGGTTAATCGCAAATATTTTTCAAGCAGAGATATAACGGGGGGGGGGGGGGGGGGGGGGGCGACTCAAGTGCCGCTTGGAAACAGGATGGTTTCGGGTCGCGGGTCTGGCTTTAAACAGTACTTGCTGCTTACACAATTTTCAAGACTTTTTTTTTTTGTGGTTTGTTTTGTTTTTTTTTTTTTCCTCCTGAAATACAAAGGACTTTTTTATCCCCACCCCCCATCAGCCCTGTCTTATTGAAAAAAAAAAAAAAAAAAAAGAAAAAAACCCAAAACACATTAGGGATTAATCTTCTACCATTTAGAGATAGACTTTGAAGCAATATTAACCACAGGACTTTAGTAGTAGCCATGCTGAAACTTGAGACTAGAACTACGTTTTGGGAAAAAGTGTTGTTTTTTTCTTTTTTCTATAATAATTTCGGTTTCTTGTATATTGAGTATATTATTCTTGTAGGTAAGTATATTCAGCAGAAGAACCTTCTGTTAGTGGATACTTAGTAGGTGGGAGGAGATTGTCTAGGTCTGAAGCCAAGGACTGATTTGTAGAAAGGCCTGGTTGGGCCGTTTGAAATCCCTGTTTCGAAACAAAGGCCTCACATGTTTTCTTTTTGCTCTCAAAATCAAAAAGCTGTTAGGAGGGAGTGTTTCTTTTCAGGAGCAATGTCACACTGAAGTACCTGAGAAGACAGTATCTCTGTTCCACTGGCCTTAGAAATTACAGGAGGTTTTTGCTCCCCAATGATGTTTGAAAAAAAATCCCTTGAAAACAAAAGTATTATCAAATGAAGTATAAGTAGATTGAAATCTAGTCTAAAGTATGTTTTCCTATTATCTTCACTCAAAACTAGTTACATTCAGTAATGGTAAAGTGCTACATATTCTTCCTTTCTAGCCAAGCTTCCACCTTGAGATAGCACATACAAAGAGCTCAGTTTCCTTATATAGCAATTTATAACTAGTGTTCTATTTTCTATGCCACCAGCAGTATTTTCATGATCATTTTGTTTCAGGCAAGATGCTTTAAGCTAGCATATTTACCAGAAAAGTGGGCAAGTTAGAGTGTTTGCCTAGGCCAAGAGAAGTAAATGGAATTAAATGCTTTGTACCAATGATTTCTCCATGAAAATGTGGGTTAAACTTATTTAACATTTAAGCAGCACAGTGTATACAAAGGCTAAACATTTATAAATATTTTCATAAACTACTCTTAAATCTCTTCACTCCAGATTTTAGTTCCTCTATTAACATTCTGCAACCATACAGAGCAAACCAAAATACAATAAATTGGGAGTATCTTGAAGATCTGGTGTAATGTTTAGAAACCTCTTGAATTTTATCAGTAATTTTCATATTCATCTTGAAAATAGACCTTCGTAGGCATCAAATGAAGTTAAAAAATGTTATTGATATTGTTGCTTATTTCTCTTAGATACACAGTGCAGGATTAACTTATACATTGGTAACATGAAAAAGTCATATGTCTCTACTCACAATTTCAGAGGCTCTGACATTCAGAAAATTTGAATGAAAGTCTGAAAGCCAATTGCACTAAAACTGAGAAATGCAGCAGAAACCTTCATTTGCAGGTAAGAATGAATGCTTCAAGTGTAATATCAACAGAAAAGCAGATTTCTGCAAGCTGCAGCTAAGTCCTTGTGTGTCTTTCTCTTTGCATTTTCTGTTGAGTCTCCTGACATTTCTGTGGCATAACTGAGTACTGGCAGGTGTATGGATTGGTTTGGGCTTTTCCTCCAAGCTCTGATATCTGGTTGGTACAGCCTCGGGCCTGGGACTGTCACTGCACCCAGACTGCAGCAATTCCTGCTCAGGAAGTGGTTTCTCTCCCTCCCTTCCTCCCTCCTCCTTCTCCCTCTGTTTACCTCCTCTGCCACGCTCTCCTCCCTGAATCATTTCTATATTTTAACCACGCTTTCTTTATACTGTAGCTGCCACTCAGGATTGAAAACAGTCAGGGTTCTAGTTTGCTCTGTTAGTCAATGTTATTTTGTTCTTCAGGTTTTAGGACAGAGAAAGCATTCTTCATTATAAGCTCATAACCATAAGAGGTTTCCACCCCTTTGTTCATTACGTCCTAGAAAACTTGATGCATGGTATGGAAAAAAGCCTGCCATACTAACTAGACAAATGCAAACAGGCCTTTTTCCCCTCTTCAAACGCTATCTCATATATAACTTCTCTACTAATTTTATTATTTTAAGACTCTGAACTCTGTATGTGAATAATACTGTTCTTTACATGTGAGAAAGGTCTTCAAATGGAAACCAAGTTCTTTGTTCTTCCTATAGACAACTGTTGGTTTTTTTTTCTGTTATGGAAGTTTCTCTCTTTCCTCCCCAAGTAGTTTGTGACAGAACTATAGGAATACCTGCACAGAGCAGGATGCTTGTAAGTTGGAAGTCCTGAAAAAAGTAGTTAAATTAACAAATAGGTGCTCTTTAAAGATGAACTCTTATGTGGATCAATTGTTTGTTTAGGGTTAAGTTTTGGTGAGTTTACTTTGGGACTAGAGGTATTTGACCTTGATACAAAACCAAAACTGATCCTCAGGAAATGCCTGTAGTTAACTGTCAGTTGACAGCACCAGGGATCAGTTTAGAAGTCTTTTAGAGATGGAAAATATTTACCACTGGTGTTACGAAGTGGTTATGGTTGGCAGCTGTGTTCTACAGAATTGATTGCTGTAGAGGAAAGAGATGGCTCTGCCCTCACGTTAAATAAAGAAGATAAACATCTTCATGCAGTTGTCCAGTAGTATGTCTGCTCTGAAAGAGTCTCAGTATCCTTAATTTGAGGTCTAAAATAAGCTTCTCTATTTTAATTACTTTTCTCAGAACTCTCTATTCCAGTTGCACTACATCTTTATTGTTATTATTATTTTTAGAGGCTCTTTTTATGGTTTGCTCTGTGCTCCTTTTCTAGTGATTCTTGACATACAAAATATTCTCACTGTAGTGCTTCTGAGCATTAAATTACTTGGGCTTGTTTTTTGTTGTGTGTGGTTTTCTTTTTTTCTTTTGGGTGATTTTTTTTTTTTTTTGTGATTAAGATCAACCTAGAGGGAGCAGTGAAGATGAAAGATGATGGTGAGACAGTTCTGAATACTGAGTTAGTGATCTGGCAGTCAGGCAGTGAAACCGAAAACTATGGTCAAACCCAAGTTTATAAATGAGAAGGCTGAAGTTTATTTTCCTTTAATGACATTCAAGTTGCCTAAGCCTTGGAAAATACAAGATGGTTTTGTTGTTAAGGTCATGATAAGATCACAGGTCAGGCAAATGGAGACTCTGTCACTAAAAGGATGGTTTGATTTTCCACCATCCATTACAATCCAGAAATCTAAGGCCATGCCTCTGTAGGCAGTGAAGTTCCCATTAGTTGCTAGTCCGAGGCATTCACTGTGTTTGTACAGACTGCTAACTGCTGAAGAACCTTGTAGCCACACCAGAGCAGTTCTAATGCTTTTTCTAGGGGTGTGTGTGTGTTCAATAGAATATTTCATACTAGATGCATGTTTTTGTGTATGCATGCACACACAACATGCTGAAGGTAAAAGGACAGTATTATACAGAGCAGCAGAAGGATATGGTAATTATCAAGATAATTCTAATAAGCTTAATATTTAATTACTATACATTGGGAGAAAAAAAAAAGCTGAAAAATGTTCATTACCTTGTAAAGGACTTTATAACTTTGTCTTATGTACACTTTTTGCTGTCTCCCACTTTCGGTCTGAACTATCCCTTCTCCATCCCTAAGAGTTTGGGGATAACCAGTAAGGCTATTGAAGGTTTTTTTGCATAAACACATCAATGCACGAAAAGGTAATAGTTTAGAGTGTCAGTAAGTAATAAGTACATATATGATCTTAATGAGGTTTATAAAGCTTTGTCAGAGATGGATCCCACTGTTCCTGGGGTAGGAGCTGCCAGAATCCAGGTTGATTTCCAGCTTCCACCTGGAGGAAAACAACTTTAAATGCACGATTTGTGGTCTTCAGCACACAGTTGCAAGTAGAGCCCAGAGGCAGATGCACACCTGAGAAGAAACCCTGTGGTGCCCTGAGGCAGACAGATCCCTGGGGAGCAGTCAGTACAGGGGCCAGGTCCATCAGGCTAGTCCCAGTGCATGAGAATGAAAACTAGAGCTGAGCTGATCAAAACTCAGATCCTCCAGTGGAGATTTAGGAGCATATTGAGTAGTCAGGTGCTAAATGTGACATTCCTTCATATTGAGGGGATAACCACCAGTTGTGGCAATGGGCCTTTCTCAGTTTTGTGTAGATGGCCTGTGCAGAGATTGACGGCTCAGAGTCCTTGTGTGAGTAGTATGCACAGAGCATTAATTTTTGTGGTGCTGTAACAAACTTATGATGCAATTTAGAACGATTTCTTTTACTTTTTTTTTTTTTCATGGAATTAGCGTATTTCTGTAATATTTTCATCAGGTTGATAGTCACTAAGCAAAAATCCATCTCCATGTTTAGTTGGACTTATACATTTTATGTGGTTATGTTCTGAGAATGCTTACATTTTCCTAGGAAGGTGGTTTAGTGTAGTTTTATTCCTTTCCCTCATGAATGTCTCACCTAAGCAAAATAGAACATTTATCGCAAGCTTCTGCTGAGGAGGTAAAGCAAATCTGTATCTTCAAATTAAAACATTTCTGCCACAATAGTTTTAGGTGGTTAAAAAAATATTTCACAGAGACTACTCAAATACTAATTCTCCTAAGGACCTGAAAAGACACATGCTGACAGATCTACTGAGAGACAACAACAACTAAAGGTTTCCTGGAAGGGGAGGAAGCAATCAACCAACCCCAAAAACAAAGTAGGTCACTGAAGAGAAAACATTTTAAATTTTGCATTATTTCAACAGCCTTCTCATGGGGGTGGTTGTCTCTTGGGAAGGCTGGGACCGTTGGCAGGAATAGCAGGATGACAGACTGAAACCTAATGCAGAAGGGATGAGGAGTGCTACAATCTGCTACGACATGCCCTTTGTGGGAAGAGGAGTAGAATAATGTTCTTGCTCCTTCCTGCCCTCATCCATCCTATTCATTAATCCCAGTGTGCCTTGGCTACCTTTCCCATATCACAGAAGGCAATTTAAGGCTCTTCCAACTAATGCTGCCTGATCAGGAAGAGGAAAACAGAACTTCTTGTCCTTCCCCATACTGTCTTGATTAATTACTGTCTTGAAACTGAATTGTGAATAAATAAGTGGAAAATTAATGCGTAGTTCATATACTCACTAGCTGTCTCTGAGTAACAAAATCCATGTAAAAGAGCAACCAGAAGTGAAGGATGAACACTAGTCATAAAATACAAGACCAAGATGTCATGTTAGGGAATGAAGAGTTACTCTACAATTCAATCAATGCAACTTGGAGCTCCTTCCTTCTTTTCCAGAACATTAAAAGCCTCAAAAAGAGATCCAGGGAACTAATATGAAGCACAAAAGGGATGTCAAAAGAGACTTCAAATTCTTGACAAAGTGCCAATCAACACTAGGGCAGGGGAGGTTAATAGGGCAACCTGCAGGGCAGAATACCTGTTCTCAGTAAACTACACAAAGAGACATAAATAGCTTAAATGGATAATCCCCCAAAAATTAACACCTACACATTTGAAGTTACCAGATGAAATGAAAGCAGAGCTATGGAAAAGATGTGCAAAAAATTAATGCTTAAGAACAAATGTGCCAAATGAATTGTTCTATGAATCTAGACAAATAGAGGGAAAACCACACTAATCACTACCAAGGAAAAGATGCATGTTGTTAAATACTGTGAGGAGTAATAGGCAGGGAAGAATATACTTTATAGGTGTGCAAAAGCATTACTGAGATCTCTTGTATTCTATTTGTGCTGTTACTCATGGTGGGGGGGGGGAGGCTGTACACCAATTTTATTTATTTCCATTCAAACAGTAACTGAACTGGTAAGTAATGTGCAAAGGCAATGACAAAAGTGAGGAGACTCATCTATCCTAAGACCACCATTAAGGCTGATATGCAAAGATGGTGAAGTCTTCCCAATTTCTGTAGAACTTCATAAAGAGCTATTAAAAAGGGCTGATACAAACACTACAATGCTGGCTATTTACACGTGAAAATAGTTATAAAAATGTTGGCCAAATATAGCCTGAATTAAATAACATACATACTAGGAGGCTACAGAGAAAGAAAAAAAATCCCCAAATGCTCCCCAAAGCTCTAAAGAAAGAAAAATATCTTCCTGAAAAAGGAGGGAAAAGGACAAACAATGACACACACACACAAAAAAAAACAAACCAAACAACAAAAACCCTCAACTAATTCTTAGTATGAAAAGCTAAATTTACCCGGGCACCGACGCTCACCACCCCTGTCCGCCGCCACACACCCTGCCCGTCCGTCTCCACCAGAACCACCACCCCCCCCCCCCCCCCCCCCCCCCCCGCCATCTCCTTTGTTTAGGCGCCGCGAAATGGCGGCGGTGGAACGCGGTGCGGGGCTGGGCGGTGCGGCACCGCGCGGGCGGGAAGCGGCGCTCTCGGCCCTACCGCCCCCATTGGCTGGATTTTGCTGCAGACCCGGGCCCCGCTCCCCCCAAAGACCCCGAGCACCGCAGCGGCGGGGCCCGGAAGCTGGGCCGTGCGCACAGAGACGGAGCTTGTCCCCTTCCCGGGGGTCTGCTCCCGCGGCGCCCAGGCCGGCCGGCGGCAGGGTCGGCCGCCTCCCAGGGCCACAGCAGAGACCGGCATCGCATCGCACCGCCCATCCCCTGTCGGAGGCGATGGCGCGAACGTCGATGTCCGCCGGGGGAAGGGCGGGGAGAAGAGCCCGCCCTTGCCCTGCCCCGCCGCAGTCTCCAACCAGGTCGGACTGCTGGCAATATAGAGCCGCGCTGGCGCCTGCTCCCGCCGCACACCCTTTGAGTTGAGAAGAGTGAGAAGTATGTCTGGTAGAGGCAAAGGCGGGAAGGGGCTCGGCAAGGGCGGCGCTAAGCGCCACCGCAAAGTGCTGCGAGACAACATCCAGGGCATCACCAAGCCAGCTATCCGCCGCCTGGCTCGTCGTGGCGGCGTGAAACGCATCTCGGGGCTCATCTACGAGGAGACGCGCGGTGTGCTGAAAGTCTTCCTGGAGAACGTGATCCGTGACGCTGTCACCTACACGGAGCACGCCAAGAGAAAAACGGTCACAGCCATGGATGTGGTGTATGCTTTGAAGCGCCAGGGACGCACTCTCTACGGCTTCGGCGGCTAATACTCCGTTTTTGGACAAGTCACTTTTTCAGAACACAAAGGCTCTTTTCAGAGCCACCCACGCTTTCAAAAGAGGAGCCTGAATCACGTTTCGTGCCTAAGCCTTGTATTTCAGGGCTGTAGCAAAACAACGGCAGCTAGTGGGTGGTGTGGTCTACGCTGAGGGCGGTGGGGGTGGGGTCTTTCTCTGTCCTCGTCTCTAGTCCGCGTTCCGTATGGTTCTTTTAATGCTTCCAGTCTCAAGCCAACAAGTGAGCGTGAAATCCGTGGTCTAAATAAATAGCGAGTTTCTGCCGGGACTCCCTAGGCTCGAGAGAAACATTCCGTTTCCGAAAGATTAGTACGTCTTACATTCCCCGCTCCTTTTCCCCGTTTTCGTCCCCGTCTCCCGCTCTTCCTTTGTAAGGAGAACGGAGGGGACAAGCTGGCGAAAAAAGCCGGAATCCCCGGTCAAGCGCTATTGCGACAGCCGGTCTCCCGCCATCGGCTTCACCGCAGCAGCCTGAAATGGAAGCGCACGAAATGGCGGCGTTGCTCTCCGTTGCCGCCCCCCCCCCCCGCATGGGGCACGGGATATGGCGGGAAAAAGAAACGAGTAAACGGATGCAAGCGCCCGTCGCGTCCCATGGGATGCAGCTGAAAGGGACGCCGAGCGAGAACGCTTCCCTTTGCTCTGCTCCTTCGACTGCAGGGCTTCCTGTGCTCTGGAGCATCCCCCCGGCCTCGGCCTGCGCCCGCAGATTATAAATGGGGAATCTCAGAACGTCGACACACAACGATCGGGCGGGGGTTGAGGCCACTATCCCACACTGAAACTCCCGCCCGGTTATCCCACGATTAACACTGCCTGGAGTACGGGAAATTGCGCTCGGCTTAGGCTGCCTACACCTGCTCCTAATATCAGAGACCCAGCTCTCTTTTGTGGCCATGTGGTGGCTCTTAAAAGAGCCTTTTCGGTTCGGGGGGGTGGGGGCACGACAGGCGCTTCAGGCGCGCTCGCCGCGGATGCGCCGCGCCAGCTGGATGTCCTTGGGCATGATGGTGACGCGCTTGGCGTGGATGGCGCACAGGTTGGTATCCTCGAAAAGCCCCACCAGGTAGGCCTCGCTCGCCTCCTGCAGCGCCATCACGGCCGAGCTCTGGAAGCGCAGGTCGGTCTTGAAGTCCTGCGCGATCTCGCGCACCAGGCGCTGGAAGGGCAGCTTGCGGATCAGCAGCTCCGTCGACTTCTGGTAGCGCCGGATCTCGCGCAGCGCCACCGTGCCGGGACGGTACCGATGCGGCTTCTTCACGCCGCCAGTGGCAGGCGCGCTCTTGCGGGCAGCTTTGGTAGCCAGCTGCTTGCGGGGCGCCTTCCCGCCCGTCGACTTACGTGCCGTCTGCTTCGTTCGCGCCATTGAGTACTTCACAAACCCACTTCCTTCCCCGTATAGTAACTAAAACCTAGGACATATAAACTGTAACGAAGGGCATAGAGACTCCCTTTTATAGCCAACCTCTGCTTGTTCATTGGCCACTGGAAAGAGTCGAGTTCATTGGGTCAATTTGAAAACCTCGCATTAACCCCTTTTGGGCTGAACCCCTCTCCTCAATATTTGAGTTACAGATTCAGTCCCCTCGTCTTTCGTTTCTTCGAAAACGTCAATATTCTTCTTAATGACTTGATCGTAAGGATAGGATCATCCCCCCCCCCGTATTTTCTAGGTTTATCAGAAAGCTAATTTTTGCTTACAGGCTTAGTTAGTAAATTCTAATTATGTAAAAGCTCACCACTTATATTCTGACTTTCTACAACATAGAAATACGTATTTCCTGAAGGAATCTAATTATTTACTTGCAATCCAAAACTAGAACTAACATACAACTAGGGTTCTTTTACCTACGAAATTCATAGCACTCATCATAACATAAAACATGGATGAAGTAAGAACAATTCATAGTGTCAAACATATGACAAAACAAAAATACAACAAAAAATGAAGGAGTAACAACTCTAGAAATAAAAATTTTATGCAAGAAATCCTTAAAAGTTCATTATGCAATTTTCACAAATATGGAGAAAATAAAGGAAAGAGGGATGCCTTGTGTAACGCTTTGGAGCTCTGAGCGGCTTCAGTCACCTCAGCGGTTACCCAATAAAAAAACTGCTCCTTATCTACCAATCAGAGATGAGGGGCGTGCCAGACCCGCTATGAATATAAGTCGCGCAGTCGGAGACGTCTCTTGTACTTTCAGCTTCTAAAGTACTCAATGGCGCGAACGAAGCAGACGGCACGTAAGTCGACGGGCGGGAAGGCGCCCCGCAAGCAGCTGGCTACCAAAGCTGCCCGCAAGAGCGCGCCTGCCACTGGCGGCGTGAAGAAGCCGCATCGGTACCGTCCCGGCACGGTGGCGCTGCGCGAGATCCGGCGCTACCAGAAGTCGACGGAGCTGCTGATCCGCAAGCTGCCCTTCCAGCGCCTGGTGCGCGAGATCGCGCAGGACTTCAAGACCGACCTGCGCTTCCAGAGCTCGGCCGTGATGGCGCTGCAGGAGGCGAGCGAGGCTTACCTGGTGGGGCTTTTCGAGGATACCAACCTGTGCGCCATCCACGCCAAGCGCGTCACCATCATGCCCAAGGACATCCAGCTGGCGCGGCGCATCCGCGGCGAGCGCGCCTGAAGCGCCTGTCGTGCCCCCACCCCCCCGAACCGAAAAGGCTCTTTTAAGAGCCACCACATGGCCACAAAAGAGAGCTGGGTCTCTGGTATTAGGAGCAGGTGTAGGCAGCCTAAGCCGAGCGCAATTTCCCGTACTCCAGGCAGTGTTAATCGTGGGATAACCGGGCGGGAGTTTCAGTGTGGGATAGTGGCCTCAACCCCCGCCCGATCGTTGTGTGTCGACGTTCTGAGATTCCCCATTTATAATCTGCGGGCGCAGGCCGAGGCCGGGGGGATGCTCCAGAGCACAGGAAGCCCTGCAGTCGAAGGAGCAGAGCAAAGGGAAGCGTTCTCGCTCGGCGTCCCTTTCAGCTGCGTCCCATGGGACGCGACGGGCGCTTGCATCCGTTTACTCGTTTCTTTTTCCCGCCATATCCCGTGCCCCATGCGGGGGGGGGGGCGGCAACGGAGAGCAACGCCGCCATTTCGTGCGCTTCCATTTCAGGCTGCTGCGGTGAAGCCGATGGCGGGAGACCGGCTGTCGCAATAGCGCTTGACCGGGGATTCCGGCTTTTTTCGCCAGCTTGTCCCCTCCGTTCTCCTTACAAAGGAAGAGCGGGAGACGGGGACGAAAACGGGGAAAAGGAGCGGGGAATGTAAGACGTACTAATCTTTCGGAAACGGAATGTTTCTCTCGAGCCTAGGGAGTCCCGGCAGAAACTCGCTATTTATTTAGACCACGGATTTCACGCTCACTTGTTGGCTTGAGACTGGAAGCATTAAAAGAACCATACGGAACGCGGACTAGAGACGAGGACAGAGAAAGACCCCACCCCCACCGCCCTTAGCGTAGACCACACCACCCACTAGCTGCCGTTGTTTTGCTACAGCCCTGAAATACAAGGCTTAGGCACGAAACGTGATTCAGGCTCCTCTTTTGAAAGCGTGGGTGGCTCTGAAAAGAGCCTTTGTGTTCTGAAAAAGTGACCTGTCCAAAAACGGAGTATTAGCCGCCGAAGCCGTAGAGAGTGCGTCCCTGGCGCTTCAAAGCATACACCACATCCATGGCTGTGACCGTTTTTCTCTTGGCGTGCTCCGTGTAGGTGACAGCGTCACGGATCACGTTCTCCAGGAAGACTTTCAGCACACCGCGCGTCTCCTCGTAGATGAGCCCCGAGATGCGTTTCACGCCGCCACGACGAGCCAGGCGGCGGATAGCTGGCTTGGTGATGCCCTGGATGTTGTCTCGCAGCACTTTGCGGTGGCGCTTAGCGCCGCCCTTGCCGAGCCCCTTCCCGCCTTTGCCTCTACCAGACATACTTCTCACTCTTCTCAACTCAAAGGGTGTGCGGCGGGAGCAGGCGCCAGCGCGGCTCTATATTGCCAGCAGTCCGACCTGGTTGGAGACTGCGGCGGGGCAGGGCAAGGGCGGGCTCTTCTCCCCGCCCTTCCCCCGGCGGACATCGACGTTCGCGCCATCGCCTCCGACAGGGGATGGGCGGTGCGATGCGATGCCGGTCTCTGCTGTGGCCCTGGGAGGCGGCCGACCCTGCCGCCGGCCGGCCTGGGCGCCGCGGGAGCAGACCCCCGGGAAGGGGACAAGCTCCGTCTCTGTGCGCACGGCCCAGCTTCCGGGCCCCGCCGCTGCGGTGCTCGGGGTCTTTGGGGGGAGCGGGGCCCGGGTCTGCAGCAAAATCCAGCCAATGGGGGCGGTAGGGCCGAGAGCGCCGCTTCCCGCCCGCGCGGTGCCGCACCGCCCAGCCCCGCCCGCGTTCCACCGCCGCCATTTCGCGGCGCCTAAACAAAGGAGATGGCGGGGGGGGGGGGGGGGGTGGTGGTTGTGGTGGAGACGGACGGGCAGGGTGTGTGGCGGCGGACAGGGGTGGTGAGCGTCGGTGCCCGGGTAAATTTAGCTTTTCATACTAAGACTTAGGCATCGTTATTAATCCTCCTTTTTTCCCCCCTCTTGGTCATGATATTTTTTTTTTGGGGGGGGGGTGAAGTCATTTGCACCTCCTGTATTCCTGTCTTAATGACCACACGCCTGTTTTGTGTTTATGGGGCTGAGATGGTGATAAAGGAACCCCATTTGAGTGTCTTGTTAATATACCCATGTAAAAAATTGATTTTATTCCATGTGTTTTTATATGTGTGGCATGTGTTTGTTCATGTTTTTATGCTTTATTGATGTGTTATACCTCAAAGTTTTAATTTCACATTTTCTTTTTATTCTGAACATAAATTTTGTTTTTTGAACACATAACTGGGTGTTTTTATTAGCTGTAGTACTGTAGCTGCATTCATATGGAGGGCAAATCTTTTTAACAAGTTGTGTTAGTCATCTTCAGGCATCATATGTGTCCAAACATTACTTATTTGG